GGTCAGGTTGGGTCACCTGTCCCAGCTGTGTCTCCTCCCAACCTCCCATGCAGCCCCAACTCCCTTGCCATGTGGCAGTGTGGGAAGCAGCAAAGGCCTTGGCTCTGGGTCAGCTCTGCTCAGCAACAACAAAATCATCTCTGTATTATCGACCCTGTGCTCAGCACAAATCCCAAACACAGCCCCACACTAGCCACTGGGAAGAAAGTTAATTCTACCCCAGGCCAAACCAGCACAGTTAGGTAGGACAAACTAACTTATCTTCACTGTCCTATTTGGGAAAATTAGAGCAACTTCTCCCAGGCCAAACCAGCACAGTTAGGTAGAACAAACTAACTTATCTTCACTGTCCTGTTTGGGAAAATTAGAGCAACTTCCCCAAATGTTTTTGTCATTCAGCATTATCACTGAGCCTGGTACATTACTAAATGGAAACACAACATAGTTTCCTTAATTATGATGTTCAGTCAGTCAGGTTCATTGCTGCTGTTTGTATTGTAAGTACATCACTCTATCCAGAGACAGAACATTTCAGTGTCCTTGACATTATCCTTCTTTTACCCTTCCAGAACGGATGCAATCTTGCTTGGCCATTATCGCCTTTCCCAGGAAACAGACAATCAAACCAAAGTCTTTGCTGTAATAATGAAGAAAAAGGAAGAGGTAGGTAGCAAAGTAGAGGAGAAAGAGATTCAGTAGGGACTTTTAAGAAGTGTTTTCTCATATAGCCAAAGATTTGCATTTCACCAGATGATGAAAAAAATCTAATTTTTTAATGGTTGAAAATGAAATATAAATAAGCATAATGATGTAGCTAATTTTTTCCCTCAGAATCTGTAATAATCTTTTATTAATGCAATGAATATCTGGTTCACATATGAACAGTGGTTCTCCCCCCTTAATTGTCATGTGTGCTGCTCTTAGGTGTCAGCATTATTAACAGAAGGAAAGGTGACTTTCTGGGGTCAGATTTGACTGTTCTGTCCCACAGCACTGAGGAAAACTGAACAAGCAGTGTTCACTAATGGAACTCTGAATGATCTGATCAACTTATTTACATCACCAAATTTCCTGATGACCAAGTCAGGAGAGACTCATGAAGAGTTAGGAGTGTTACAGTGAGTTGGCACAGCTTGGTTGGTGCCTCCTATGCTTATATGCTGTGAAAATCTCTTGAACATAAGAAGGAGATGGAACTGTTGGAGCAAGTCCAGAGGAGGCCACGAAGTTGCTAAGAGCACTGGAGCATCTCCCTGTGAGGACAGGCTGAGGGAGTTGGGGCTGTTCAGCCTGGAGAAGAGAAGGTTGTGTAGAGACCTCAGAGCAACTTTTCAGTATCTGAAGGACCTACAAGGAGCCAGAGAGGGACTCTGTGTTAGGAGCTGCAGTGACAAGCAAAGGGGCAATGGGTTCAAACTGAAGGAGGGAAAGTCTAGGTTGGATGTGAGAAAAACAGTTTTTAATCTTAAGGGTGGTGAGACCCTGTTCCAGGGTGCCCAGGGAGGCTGTGGCTGCCCCAACTCTGGCAGTGTTCACAGCCAGGATGGATGAGCCTTGAGCAACCTGCTCTGGTGGGAGGTGTCCCTGCCCAGGGCAGGGGTTGGGGCCGGATGATCTGTAAGGTCCATTCCAACTCCTAAATTCTATGATCATTCTACAATGATCTAAATTGATGTATTTTCTAGGAGTACAAGTACTTGCTTATAAGTGTGAGAGTTTAACAGTCTGGCCTCAGGATTGAGTTGCACAACGTGTTTGTTCGTTGTAGATCATGAAAGTTGTTCTTTCTCTGTACAGAAACCAGTTGACTACCACAAGTACAGATATTTCCGCCGAGTTCCTGCACAAGAGACAGATCACAGTTTTCATGTAGGACTGCAGTTGTGCTCCAGTGGGCGCCAGAGGTTCAACAAACTCGTGTGGATACATCATTCTTGTCACATAACCTACAGGTAAGTGGAGAACAAGAGCAAAGAAGGATATCTAACTGTAGAAATGCAGATGATGTTAAGGTCTCCAGTACAGAAGATGTAAAGACTCTGAGCAGCTTTAACAAAATGTCCTGGAAATAGTAAGTGGTCCTGATTTGACACATCATGATGAATTTTCCTCCCAAGATTTTACCAACCTGTTCTAAGGATAATGGGAAGTTTTCTAAGTAGTAGAATGGAAGTTTTTATCCTTTTAAAGGATTTATGCAGTGTTTGATTTCAGAACTGAATCGGGGACTTGGCAGTGCTGGTGGCACAGCTCAGTGTGAGCCAACAGTGTGCACAGGTGGCCAAGAAGACAAAACTAGCTCCACTTTCTTGTATCCCCAAATGCAACAACCATATTAATCAGAGGCTCAGATGAGATGTGAGGAGAAATGTTTTCCCTGTGAGGGTGTTCAGCACTGGGATATTGCCCAGGGAGGTGGTGCAGTCACCATCCCTGAAGGTGTTTAAGAAGTGTCTGGATCTGGCACTGGAGGATCTAGTTTAGGGGTTGCAGCAGTGACAGGTTAATGGTTGGACTGGGTGATCTAAGAGGTCTCCTCCAACCTTGATGATTCTGTGTTTCAGGGTTCTAAGTGCAATAAATGAAAGGGGATTTTTAACTTCAATATTGATAGAGTGACCTGAGTGACATCCTGTGCTGCCTCAAGCCTTGGAGCTAGTTATGAGTGGAAAGGGCAAGTGTTTTCCTTGAGATTAGAGAAAAAATGTATTCTGTATAGTGTGGTTCAGCCAATATTCAAATGCTTTCAGAACGAGGCAGGATGGAGACACTTGTTTCCAGCTGTAGTTGTGTGCACACAGAGCACTGTGGAACGTGGCTGCATTTCTGAGGGAGTTAACCAGCAGCTCCTGGCTGATCTGACCTCTATGATGCTCTTTGCAGGTCGACTGGTGAGACAGCTGTCACTACTTTCGACATCGACAAGATGTACACCCCTCTGTTCTTTGCACGAGTGAAGAGTTTCACTGCATTCTCAGAAAAGCCTCTCTAGGAAAAAACACTTTCTCCCCTCACAACTCTTGCATGGAGGTTGTAGCTAACGAGCACTTAAGTTATAAATGTGTATATATTTGGAACACTTTAAAATCCTGGGAAATCTTTTCGAGGGCAGTGTGTTCTCTCGGGTGATGAATGGCTGGGGTTCTGTTTTGAGATCAAGCTTAGGAGTGTTAAGCACCTTTAATTTGTGATCAGAATTGGATAAAGGAGTTTTGTTGTGTTCTTTTGGGTTTTGTTTTTTTTTTTAAAAGAGATTTCATAAATCAGTTTGCTTAAAATGTGAGTCTTCATCTGCCTAGACACTGATTAGCCTAAAAGAAATGATTATGAGAGGATTTCTCTGTCCTTGGGACAGTGTGTGTGGCCTCTGGTGAAGGCTCGGAATGTGAAGGGGAGAAAGTTGTCATCTGTTCAACTGTGTGGCTTAAAAGAACTCCAAATAAATGTTTCCTTTCAATTGAACTTACTTTGTTTGCTTTTAAGATCTGACATTGTGCCAACATCAACCTTAAGGAAAAAACAACCAAGGGCAAGTGAGCAGCAAGTGTGAAATGTCACCACAGAGGGACATCTCCCCAGTGCCATTTCTGTGGAGCTGCCTTCTCCATGGGTGTGTGGGAAGGGGAGAGGGACACGGGCAGTGAGCTGTTCCCCTGTGCACCTGCAGTGCCACAGTGCAGTGGTGGAACTGGTGTGTGCACTGCCAGGCTGGAACACAGGTCAGCAGGGCTCACTTGGGCACGATGTGATAACCCTTCATCTAACCTTGCTACAGATGCTGTAAACCCTTTGAGCATTTGCTGTACCAGGATAGACTTGGAGGCTGCTGTAGACATTCTGCTAATCATGAAGTGTACCCTGAGGTTTGGTGCAGACCTTGTGATGCTGCTTCCTCTGTGTGTGTCTTGGGTTCTGAAAGAACTGAAGCTTTCTGGTGTTCTTTTTTTTTTTTTTTTTTGTTAAGCTATTCTTGCATCATTTACCTTTGAACATCTTGTTTCAAAGTACTGACCTGGACTTGAGGACTAAAATGTGAAAGCTGTGGAAAGAACTCGACTCGTCCTATAATTTATAAAGTGTTATCTTTGCAAGGAGCTACATGGTTAAAAATACATCAATAAATCATGATTCTGAACATGCAATCCCTTGCAATTTCTTGTTTTCCCAAAAAGTCATTACTTCTATACAGTCAATGATGATTTAGTTAGGAGCTACCATAGATAAACTACATACTAGGCAATACTGACAGGTAGAATGAACCTCTGAATGACTTTTTATTGCATTACTTACAGGTTGTCTGAGAAAAGTAGTTCTCAGGTACATGAGTCTACGTCCCTGGGCAATATCCCAGTGCCTCAACACCACAACAGGGAAAACATTTCTCCTAACATCTCATCTGAACCTCTGATTAATATGGTTGTTCCTCTGCATTTTAGGATACAAGAAAGAGGAGCTAGTTTTGTTTTCTGAAGCAGTTCATCAGCAGATACTGTTACTGCTTGTTCATGTGCAGCTATTAAAATAGTACTTGTTTCAGCAAAGAATCTTCCCTCGTTCTCTCTGGTGTTTCTCAGCAGTCCAAGGCTGTAATTAGTAGAGGCTCTGTGTTCTGATGGTTTAGTTTTATTGCCCTGTTAATTATCATGTAATGACATTAGTTGGTGTAACTCCTTTACTGCTGGGAAACTGTCCTTTACTAATTACATAAATAACTTGGATAAAGGAATAAGGTGTGCACCTACACAGTCCATGGCTGCAGGGATAGAGGGAATGGCCTTGAGCTGAGCCAGGGCAGAGTCAGATTGGGGGTGAGGAGAAATGTTTTCCCTGTTGTGGTGTTCAGCACTGGGATATTGCCCAGGGAGGAGGTGCAGTCACCATCCCTGGAGGTATTTAAGAGGCATCTGGATCTGACACTGGAGGACCAACAAGTAGACTCTTTCCAGCTGCTTAGGTTCAGCTCCTGAGCCAAGGTAACCCTGAGCCAAGCAGGTCAGCATTTCAAAAACATGTGGTGTTTACACAAAGTTGTTTTTTTTTGTTTAAAGAAAGAGAACAATAGAGTCTGTTTGGATTTTTTTCCTTTTAATTCTAAAGAATTTCCTTGGAATGTATATTTGGAAACTTTTGTCAACCTTGAAATGGCCTCAAAACCTTCCAACTATTGAGTCACCTTTTTTATGACCACCCAAGATGAGAGAAACATAAGGGCTTAGAGAAATTTGCAAAACCAGTTTGGGTTTCAGAAATTCATGGTGCATATGTTATTTAGTATTGACAGCACCTGTGAAAAAATCCAAGAATCCAAACATTAACCTGTTACTGCTGCAACCCCTAAATCCTAACCCAGATCCTCCAGTGCTACATCAGACACCTCTGAAACACCTCCAGGGATGGTGACTGCACCACCTCCCTGGGCAATATCCCAGTTCCTGAAAACTGAGTAGATAAGTAAACACTTTTTTTCACACATTTTACTTCTGAAGGGATGAATTTTCTCTTGAGAAAATACCTACAAGCACTGTTACACCCACACATTTCCATGCTAAATTTACACACTGAGTAACTTCCTTTTCATCAATTGGACTTCCACAATGGGAAGAGTTTGCTAAACTCACTAAAGCAAAAGTTCTGCAAACTTTGGGGCTTTTTTGGTTTTTTTTTGCAAAGGAATTTGGTTGATTTAATTTTCCCCCACTTCATTCTCGAAGTAGGGGTTACCCCTGCAGGTTGTTGTAGTTTAGCACTAAACAAGAGCTTTGGGATGAGGCTTCCAGCTGTGTTTGCTGGTTCTGATGTGCACTGTGGCTCTTCTGCCATGAGGTGGCATGTGGCACAGTTGGAAGTTTTCTTTCGTACTTCCTAAACTAAGTGTATTTATTTTTCCCTCCAGCTTACATAAAATTTGAGAACACTCCAGCAAAAATAGAGGAAATGGACGAGGCAATTACGTGTTACAATTAGCCATGCCAAAAGTTCATCTCCTTAGGTTTCTGCATGAGTATGACATCCATGATAACACAACTGAATGGGAATAAATGGACAGGCAAGTGCTTCAAAGGGATTTTAAATACCTGGATCACAGGATCAGAGCCTCCAAATGGGATCTGAGGCAGACAGAATGTGAAGTGGGAACATCCTTACATGATCAGACTCACAGAACCATCAGGGTTGGAGGAGACCTCCAAGAACATTGTGTCCAACCATTAACCTGTCACTGCTGGAACCCCTAAACCAGATCCTCCAGTGTCAGATACAAATACCTTAGACTCTTAGACACCTCCAGGGATGATTCTCATTGATTCTTACCATGATTCCATGATTCTTACCACTTACCATTAAATGATCCCATGATTCATACCACTGCCCAGTTGAGCAAGACACTTTAAACCTGTTTAAAAGAGACTTACAGCAGTGACATGTTTCTTTTCACATATCCCAAACACATTGCAAAATGTTATGGTTGGACACAATGATCTTAGAGGTCTCCTCCAACCTTGATGATTCTATGATTCCAAGTAATTTTTGTGAAGGTCAGAGCTGGGATTGGTATCTTTGTATTTGAGCCAAAAGGATATAAAGTTGGTGCCATATTAACCCACTGTGCTGAATGTACCTAAAGTGGAGGGAGCAGCACAGAAGTCACTTACAAGACCATGGAAATGTCAAAATGACCCTGGCAGCTTATAAATTTGGAAAGCTTTTCTGTATTTAAGCTCAGAAAACATCATAGTTTCCTTCCTTTTAAAAAGGAATAACCTGTCCTTCTTGAACCTGAGATATGTTTCTCTTGGAAACACTGGGTGTGATGAATGCTGCATGAGCAGGAGCTGGGGGTGCCCCCAAACTGTGGGACAGTCCTGGTTGCTATGGCAGGTAACTACTGTGGTCACAGGATTAGGTTTCATTTTGGAAACCTTTTGATTCAGACTTAGAGGCAAACAGACAAAAAGAGCTTCCTGCTTCTTAGGCAGGAAGAAAGGTTGGTAGGAGTTGTCTTTTAGGGAGGTTTGGCAGTAACAATCCTTTAGGAAGCATGTGAGACTTGGTAACTGGATGCTCTCCACCTTCAAAGACTTGAATCATGGAATCATAGAATCAAGGTTGTCCCTGCTCATGCCAGGGGAGTTGGACTGGATGACTTTTGAAGGTTCCCTCCACCCCAAACCATTGTGTGATGATTCTATACAACACCTGTGCAGGGCTGGTGCAACAGGTGGACTTAGATCACTACCTGAAAGAAGCTGGAAGAGTGCAGAAGGTTGCACATGACCCTTGTAGTCCTCGAGGTCATCCATCTGCACCTTCCACAGTCCCACAGGCTTGAGCAGACTCTGTGTCAAGGGGGGCTGAAATGCTACCAAACCAGAATGGCAGCGAGGCAGTCTGTAAGAAGAGCTGATACCTTTTATTAGATCCATGGGGGCAAAATATAACATTAAAAAAAAGGCACAAAGACAAGCCTTAAGGCATGAAAGCCCTTCCTGGGGCCTGCAAGAGGAGCTGAAGTGGGAACTGGTGTGGCAACACTTTCACATCTGTGTTGCAACAGGGATGGAGAATTGGGCCTGTTGCCAGAGAAGGGGCAAGTGTGGACACTTAAACCCCATCACCGTAGCGGGTACAGGTTAAAAAACATGTCATCACTGCAGTAGTTGAGACCCTCCTTGTGTCCCTCAGCTCTGCCTCTTTCTCTTCCCCTTGGAGGCACCAAGAACTGCTGGTGGGACTGTGCCCCACTTGCCATGGGGCAGGGACCACCCTGAGGCATGGGGTAGGGTGGCAGAGAGAGACAGCTGCCACTGTAAGCCAGCAGGGATTTCTCCCCACAGGATCCACCTCCCAGAGGACCAGCATTAGGGCTGGAGGGCTCGTGGCCACCTTTGGCCACAGGCAGGGTGTGCTGGGTGCTGGGGTGGGTGCAGTGCTGGGGGGAAAGGGCTGTGAAGGGAACAGCAGAGACACTCTCAGCACTTGGGATCTTCCTGAGGGATGGACTTTGGCTCCAGGTCAGCTCCTCTGCATAGCCCCCACCCTCCCCAGCTGCCCTTGGGTATGGTGGTTGCCCAGAGCTGCTCAGTGTCAGCTCCTGGGAGCTCTTGCTTAAACATCCCCTGGAATGAGCAGGTAGCACATAGGCATCCACCTTGGAAAGAAGCAAAGGCAAAGCCTCCGGTGTTGGCACTGCACCTGTCAGAGACTTGGGAAAGCAAGGCATGGGTTAGTAAAACTCAAATGAAACAGGTGATGAAACAGAGTCTCCTCATAGGGGAGTTTCCATGAGCTTTAGGGGCAAACCAAACAGCTCCCAGCTCATGGCTCTGGGTTTGCTTCACCACTTTTTGCCCAAGGCCTGTTTTACACTGGAAGAGTTGTTTAGGCCTTGGGATCCACTCTCAGGATATACTGAAGAACAGCCTAAAGATGAAATTATGCTAATACATTTGAGACCACAGAAAAGCTGTTTCAAACTGGTTGTTTTGCAGTGATCTTTTCATTACAATAATATGTTTCAGCTTTTCAAGACTCTATTTCCAACTGACAAATTTTCCTATCTTTACAGGTTTTTTTTACTCCACCAACAGAATTACCATTCAGGGAGGGATCAACACACAAGAATTATTATTCCTCTGGGTCTTTTGTTCTGGATATTTCACAACGTCTTTAATTGCCCTAATTATTGGATTATAATTATGCAAACTTTTAATTCCTTTCAGAACACTCATTCTGTGCTATCATTTCTGATGAGTACTTGCAGGTCTCTCTTCTTTCTAATTCTGCTTTTTCATCTATTTAATTATAGTGATTTTGCTGATTGCCAGAGCAGCAAAGCTCCTTTCAGCTGTTCTCCACTCACCATAAGAAGAAATTCCAACAATCTGGTGTAGGACCCAACCCACCTTCAGCTAAAGACCTTCCGAGGTGACACAGAAAACATCCTGTGCAACACTTATAGAATCACAGAATTTAAGGGTCAGAATGGACCTTATAGATCACCCAGCCCCAAGCCCTGCCCTGGGCAGGGACACCTCCCACCAGAGCAGGTTGCTCAAGGCTCATCCAACCTGGCTGTGAACACTGCCAGGGTTGGGGCAGCCACAGCCTCCCTGGGCACCCTGGGACAGGGTCTCACCACCAGAACAGGGAAAACCTTTTTTCTCACACCCAACCTAGTCTTCCCTTCCTTCAGTTTGAACCCATTACCCCTTGTCCTGTCACTGCAGTTCCTAACACAGAGTCCCTCTCTGGCTCCCTTTGACCTAAGTAAGACCAGTAGGCACAGATATAAAAGAAAAACAGCCATATGACTCTGTAATATTCCCTAGGTGAGGACTATTTTAGTGTTGGAATCCTAGAATCATCAAGGTTGGAGGAGACCTCTAAGATCATCGAGTCCAACCATTAACCTGTCACTGCTGGAACCCCTAAACCCTAAACCATGAAGTGAAATGATACCAGGGCTGTTTTCCACAGCATCAGCTTGAGATTCTCAGTTGCCTGTGCCTTGCACCATGATGGCACATAGGGACAGAGGCAGGTTCAAAGCCAGGTGTGTACAGTGAAGGGACCCAAACCTGATGCAACCTTGCCCAAAATCCTGTCAGGGAGTGATCCTTGGCACATAGTGTCCTCCTGATCCATGCCAAGGCATTTTGTCTGTGAGCATGAGCTTAGCACTGACCAAATCCACGTCAGGGACCACGTGAATGGTGACAGGGCTGAGCAGAGCCTCCAGCCATGCTTTGTTTGCCAGTGTAGATGTAATCCTCTGCTGTCACCAGGCCCAGAGAGGCTCCAGGCAGGGGCTGCTGGCAGAGGATGGCACTGCTGATGAGAGCAGGATGCTCAGGACAGCTCTGCTGCATCTTGGCCTGATCACAGAGAGGCAGAACCTAGAGATGTATAGACTTGTCCCACCCAGACTCAAGACCCAGATAGACTCCCCCATGCCTTGAACCACAGATGTTTGATCCCAAAATGTCTTTGATCAGTAACAAGAGTTACCTCAATCTCATGGATCCTTTCTAATCTTGTAGAAGATGGAGAAAAAGCTGTCTGTGCTTTTTGGATTGATCTTCTTGCTTCTGCTTCTAGTTTTGTTTCTGGACGTGGATGGTCATGAGATCCTTTGGACTTTAGAAAGTAATTATGGTATGTTAAAGTTAGAAGTGACCTTGTTATTAATCTTAAGGGAGCAGAACTTGCAGCACAGGCCAAACCCACATATATGACCTCATTTAATGCTCTGTGTTTAATCAGATTTATTTAACGTGAGCTCAAACATGTCTCAGATGAAGTTAGATGGGGTAGAAATTCTCTCAAATCATAAAACCAGTGCACCACATTTATGTGTAGACACTTCCCACACTAGAGCACCAGCTGAAGCCACAAGGTCTTCTGCAGCTTGGCTACAGTGTCCCTGCAGTCATTTCCATTCTCCTCACACTACAGACACATTTGTCAGAACATTAATTCCTGTTACTTTCCACAGAGAATTAGTTTTATTTACCCTGCACATAAGTGAAAGTCTTGAAACCAGGAGTCAGCTCAGTGGTGATGGGACTAAGCTGGGACCAGAGCTTCCAGAAATAGTGCCCAGTTTTTAAAGCCTTGCACACACTGTTTTCCAGATCTGTTACATATAATGCACTGATAGAATTTTCCATAGACAGTCCCTTGGGCACAACCATTTCCTGCTCCAAAATAACCTCGTGCTTACACGTGGTGCCCTGGAGAGGGGGTGTAGATAACATGGCATTTCTGACTTTCTGAGGATTTGTTGGTTTCTATGTCCCTGAGGCAAAGTGCTTTGAAACCAAGATGAAATGAAAAGGATACTATGCTAGAAAATCATAGCAGCATAGGCTAATTTAGGTTGGAAGGGACCTCTGGATGCCCAGCTCAACCTCATCCTCAAAACTAACTTCAGACTTAGATCAGGTTGCTTAGAACCTTAGGTCAAGTTTTCTCCTTACAGTCATTTGACCTTGTCATATTCAATTACCATTCTTTGTTGAATCAAGAAAAAAATCCTTAATAAAACTTTGAAAAAAACAGTCTTTAACTTGCATAATCTTGGGTAATTTTATACCAACCTGAAAAAATATGAATTGTCCTTCATGCCTCCAGAAGTTGGTGACTGGGTAACCACCATGGCCTCGGCAGGAAAGGCGTCTCAGGGGTCCATTGCAGTTTGGACAGCATTTCCCTGGAGAAAAGACAGTGGGAAACATTTTCTATACAACATCAGTCAGATGAACACCATGTGATACAATGGTTCATTGGTGCTGGACTGTCCTGTCCAGTTTGGGCTCAGAAATCACACTGAGAAAAACTATGCAAAAAAACCTTCCAAATGTAAGCAAAAAATCAATATAAGCAAACTAATAATCACCTGTTCAGTATTAAATAGAACTGTCCAAAATTATAAGTTTCTTATAATTTTATCATTTATTAACATGGTCAGTTTTAGTTGTTTGTCTCTTGTCAGTGTTTGAAATGTCAAATGTTTTCTTCGGCAGTGTTTGAAATGTCAAATGTTTTCTTTGGAGAATCATAGAGTTATCAAGGTTGGAGGAGATCTCTAAGATTATTGAGTCCAACCATGAACCTGTCACTGCTGGAACCACTAAACCCTAACCCAGATCCTCCAGTGCCACATCAGACACCTCTGAAACACCTCCAGGGATGGTGACTGCACCACCTCCCTGGGCAATCTACCTGACCACTGTTAGGTGCCTGACCACCCTAACAGTGAACCCAAAGGGTATCCTACACTTGGATTTCTTTTCTGTTCTCTTCCTTTATGAGCTGCCACATCACTAACAGCCACGTCCATACTCACTCTGCTGTTTTTGCCTGGCTTTGTCACATATGGCTGGTCTTAGGTAGATCTTCCTCCCATCCAGAGTCAAACAGTCGTTGCTGCAGACCACCACCCCCAGGCAGGATTTCTTTAAGATGCGAGAGTTGTGGTTGTTGGTGTTCCTCATTGCCCAGCTGCTGTGGTGCCTCTGAGCATTTTTATCCTCTGAGCTGTAGATGTGCTTTACATAGGAATCTGGCCATTCTTGAAACCAGTCTATCTGCCTTACATCCTGTGGAGAGACCACAGAAAAACACATTTTAGGCTGGGGAAGAGAAGAGTTTGTGCAAGACCTGCTCCTCTGATGGGTGTCTTCTAACCTGGGTGACTCCAGCTCCCTGGCAGGGGCTGCTGGTTGTCAGGAGGGAGTAGTGGGAGGAAAGGCAGAAAAACCACAGTTTTCTGTGGCTCCCCACAAGCCCCAGAGCACCAGGAGGTTGTTCTTATTCACCCACAGATCCAAGGCTGGGGAAGAGAAGAGTTTGTGCAAGACCTGCTCCTCTGATGGGTGTCTTCTAACCTGGGTGACTCCAGCTCCCTGGCAGGGGCTGCTGGTTGTCAGGAGGGAGTAGTGGGAGGAAAGGCAGAAAAACCACAGTTTTCTGTGGCTCCCCACAAGCCCCAGAGCACCAGGAGGTTGTTCTTATTCACCCACAGATCCAGGCAAAGCCCCAGAGCACCAGGAGGTTGTTCTCATTCACCCACAGGTCCAGCTCAGGGCAGGATCTCCTCAGGAGAGGAAGGTGAGAAGCTTGATGTAAAACAGCAGAGATTTTCCTGCACCTAGCTAACCTCTGTTAGATTTCATGGCAGAGATCCTGCTCTGCCTTTTGGTGTGTTCAAAGCAGTGCTACACTGAACCATTTGGCTTGATTTGGCTCAACTTGTTAGAAAAAGAGCAAAACCAAAATCAGACTGAGACTATGTCCATATCTGTAGGTCCTTAATTCTGGACTTTCCTTCTTTTTGGCCTAACTGCCATGAAAGATTTCTACAATGATTCTTCTGAAGTACAAAATAAAGAAACCTGATATCCTGGTCGGGTTTTATTTTCACCACTATGGACTAAACAACAAAAAAATCCAAACCCAAGGGCAACACCATAAGGATCAATAAAAATCAAACCCAATGAGAATAAAACCCCAAATGCACATCACCTCAATGGGCACAGTCAACACAGTAAGCTGTCAAGCATTTAACATGCTGATGGTTTTGAGGGAAAAAGCCTCATAAGGGATACAAAAGCTTAGCAGAAATCTCCTTTAAATTGCTGATTCCAACCATTGAGAGCCATGACAGCAATAAGAACATCAACTGAGAAGGGAAAAGCAGCCACTGGATAGTTGGGAAGGGTGTCAAGGAAACCTCCAGACTGAAATGCAAGTGAAGGTGACCTTGAGGTGAAGGGTAGGGAAGGACACAGACTGAAATGCAAGTGAAGGTGACCTTGGGGTGAAGAGCAGGGAAGGACACGGCCTGGAACGTGGAGGCTTTGTGCAAACAGCACTGGCACAGTAGGGAATTGCCTGGGATGCAGTCAGAAGACAGGGCTGGGAGGTGAAAGGCAGAGCTGGATGCTGAAGGGCTGCAGGAGGAGGAATTTGGCAGAAATATGCTAAGGTGAGGGACAGGGAGGTGACGTTGGTGGCAGGGTATGTGAGCTTTCAGTAGAGAGCATGGCTGGAATTCTTAGATAAGAGGACTAGAAAAGGACAGAGGGAGTGGAAGATCACTACTCTGCCTCTCAGCTAAACTCTGCAAACATGAAGGAAGCTTTTCCAAGCTGTTGTCTCCCTATGGGAAGACAACTCTCCTGCCTGGAGCCCAATCTGCAGCAAGACTGAGCACCCACAGTTGCAAGGCAGTTGTGGCTGCTGCTCTGCTCCCTTCTCCTAAAGAATGGCCCAGGGCAAAAAGCAAGTCCTGGACATCTCTAATTGAGCACCCACAGCAGGAGGTAACTTTTTTCCCCATTTTCCCTGCACCTCATCCACCACCAGTGAGCTAGAGAACCAATGCATCTGCAGCATTGCTATTTTTCATGCATCAGTAACACATTGAAGGAAAAAATGCATGGAAAGGTCACAATTTGCTCAATATTTTCTAGCTTTCCAACAAAAACCCTGCCCCATACCTCAAGGTGACAAAGGGAATAAAGGCAATGAGGCATAGATGACTGAGAAAGTATTTAAGATCTGCAGTAGAGACTAGAGGTCAGAACTGAATCACTTGTGAGACACAGACACATACCTGGGGAAGTTTGAGGTCATTGATATCCCAGCTGGTCATTTCTCCATGTCTGGCAGCAGAGTCCTCCTGCTCCATAACTGCACTTTTCAGCAGTTTTGAATTCTTTCCCAAAGTTAGCAAGGAAGTCTCTCCTGGCTGCTGTTGAAGTTGCCTGGCTGTCAGTGCTCCCAAGCAGTTTACAACCAGGAAGCTGTTTCCTGAAGCTAAATGATAGAGAGGCTGCTCATTAAAGATAAAAATCAGTGTTCTTCTGCCAGAAAAACTCGTTCCATTAAAAGTTTTGCAAGCCAGCAAGGCAGTGGAAAATATAGCTTAGAGACAGGCTGTGATGTTACAGAGACATCGTTAACAGCAAGAAAATTGTGCCTTTGTCATCTGTTTTGCTTTGCTCCATCTCCCCTCATACCAAATTTATAGTCATGTAGCTTTGCTCATAGGTTCTTTACATGTCTGATCCAATTCTGCCTCAATATTTCCAGAGCCAAACTGATTGAACAGCTCAACAGCTGCTAAAGGATCTTTGAGTTGCTGCTAAGCCATTAGATATTTCATGTGCTGCTTGTGATGAAGGTGAGCAGCAATAGGGATCTGCTCCATCACTGCAGGGGGAATGGTGCTCAACCATTTCAAACACTGTTGGTGTCTCTGAGAGCTTACCAACTGCATGAGGGAAGTGCAGAAAGGGAGGTTGGGCTACTTGCATTTTCCTATCTCAACAGCAGACTGAGAGAGAGACAAATCCACCAAGGTATGTTTGTTAAAACCAACAGGTTTTGCCTGAAACCTTGTAAGCAGGTGGCTGCACTACTCTGAGCTTCAGTGCCAGCCAAGCTTAATAACCTCTCCTTAGGGAATTTAGGCATGACAAAGTTTGTTCCTTTTGCTAAGGAGAGAAAAGGCAAATCTGTTTTCTCTTTCTGGAAACTTCATTCCATTCAATGCTTTCAGGAATGTCACTGTAGTTAAGGATCTATGAAAGACTATTGAGTAGTGGGAGCAGTAAAATCAACTCGATGTAATTCTATTTCATAGACTTTATTAAGCATAATTAATTTTATTGCTATTTCTGGTTCTGCTTATGCCTGGCCATTGGAAAGTCATAGAATCATAGAATCAGCCAGGTTGGAAGAGACCTCAAAGTCCATCGAGTCCAACCCTACCGTGGTCACTAGCCCATGGCACTAAGTGCCACATCCAGTCTCAGC